TATGTATGTGACAGATGGATGGATGCGTGATGGATAGACAGAAAGAGACGTAGGTAGGTAGGTAGGTAGGGAGGTAGGTAGGTAGGTAGGTAGGTAGGTATTACGCATGTTGGTAGGTAGAAAGAGAAACGTTAGATAGATAGGTACACATAGTACGCAAACGCATGCATGGATAGAGTGAGAGAGATCGAGAGAGCCAAAGCAAAACAAACAAGCTCTCTCTCTCTCTATATATATGTATATATACATAGATACATTCGTGCTATGTAATCGTTGACATGTAGGGCTTATCTGTCGAGCGTTGTCTTGAGGCTTGGGAGAAAGGTGTTTATGTCACAAGCAGTGCTCTTGGATCCTCAGTTCAGGGGCTGAGGGTCTTCAGCTCTGCAACCCCTCCAGGGCTAGCGGCTTAGCTTGTGAGTCGAATATCGGAGTCTTCGAAAGTGAAAGGGCTGTCAGGGGCTTTTTGGAGGCAGTTGAAGAGGTTCGGCTTTCGCGCCCATGGCATAGATTTCCGATCTGTATGTCCTAGTTAGCGTGAGTCTGGAATCGTACAGTGCTCTGTAGAGCATGCAACTGAAAGGGGTCAGGGCCTAAGTAGCTAGAAGGCAGCCGCAGCTATATCTACTTATAACCCGGGCTGAGAATGTATGGATACTGTGGTTTGGAGTTGATGGCTCGTCGGGCTCAGTATGTACAGCTTGTGAGGTCAACAAAGGGGGGATGCTAAGGTTGTCTATTTTGAGTTCCGCAGACTTGAACTCCAGCCACAAAGCCTCTAAAGACCTAAAATGGATCCTAGAGCCGTCTAGGAAGGTTTCTGTACAGTGAGTCATCATCATGGCTTATGTAACCACCCTAAATCCTGAAACCTATAAGCCCTAAACCTTAAACCTTAAACCCCATCAGCCCTCCTTAAACCCTAATTATAAGCCGTGAACCTTAAACCTTAAACCCTATAAGCCCTGAGCCTGAAACCCTTGTTAGCCCGAAGCACTCCTACCCTAAACCCTAACCCCTAAACCCTGAACCTTAAAACCCTAAACCCTAACCCCTAAACCCTAAACCCTAAACCCCAAACCCTAACCCCTTAACCCTAAGCCCTAAACCTTAAAACCCTGAACCTCAGCCCTAAGGCGCAGAAGGGCCAGGAACGGATCCAGGAGCCTCAGCGCGAGGGCCCCCTGCCGGTCTCGACGCTTTGTGGCTTCCTGGGCGCGGGTCGCTCGGCGTTTTTTGGGAGGGGTTTACGGTATCGACATTTGGGGTTCGAGGGCTACTGTGAGGGCTTTATTGATTAGAATAGGGTGTTGGGGTATCTTATACTAGTTATAACAAGGAGCCTCCCAAAATAAGAGAGGGGTTCGAACATAGGGTTTAGTGTTTCGGAGCTCAGGGTTTAGGTTTTAAGACGCTTTCAGGGCTTTGGTTGAGTGTTTCAGGGTTCAGGGTCTGGGGTTTCGGTCATTGGGGTTCTTGACAGGGTTGTTATCATGCTTCTTTTCGGAAGGGTCCCCAACAAGGGCTTTACCGGAGTTCAGGTTAATGTAGGGGTCTTAATAAGTACCTATACTCTGTTGGGGGCTCCTTTTTATAATTATGTATCATGGGCCCCCAAAACCCTATTCTAACCCTAAAACCCTAAAACCCCAAAGCCTAAACCCTAGAACCTTAAACCCTAAACCCCTTTATTAAGGCCCCTATATTAGGAGTTTTGAGGGCTCGCGCCTCAGGGTTTCTTTCCGGCAGCCTTTGCAGAGTTGTGACTCCGCCTGAAGCCTCCAATCCTTCAGCCTACGTATCCTGAAGCCCCAAAACCCTAAACCCCAAAACCCGAAGCCCTAAACCCTAAGCCCTAAACCCTAAACCCTAAAGCCTAAACCGTTGGTTGGGGGGGGGAGAGAGTTTTGAAGCTTTTCTGGGTCGACTTTTCGATTGTTTCATCGTTTCCCTTGCTGAGTTTAGGTCCGGGGGTCGGAGAAGTCATACGGTTGATGGACAAAATCCTGCATGACCTTATATATATATATATACCTAAACCATGAGATTTATGGTACTATACTATATTTGGGTCATGTGCAATTTTGTCCATCAACAGTATGGCCGGAGAGCTATATACACGTACTATACTAGGCTTTGGGAATTACCTGCAGGTACGACTTTAAGGCTGATCATTGATAATTAAGCATGCTGCCGATCACGAACCGCCGCGTGATCGGGGGAATAGCTCCACCCAATTCAGCGCGGGTGCAGCTTATTCCCCCACCCGTGCAGCAGCTGCCGCCGCTGCAGTCGGACCGCCCGGACGTGGCGGATCAAATGGCGTCGCCGAGCCCGCTGAGCATCCCCTCTTCGATCGGGCGTATGGTGCCGCACACGCCGCTTGTTATTTTCGACGTTGCCCGCGGATTGAATGTAGCCTCAAACGTGGCAGAAATTTTGACCACACTGCAGAAGATCCAGCAACTGCAGCAGGAGAGCATGGGCTGGACAAAGTGTACACTCCCGCTCTGGCGAAGATTGCGCAGAAACCGCAGCCGTCCTCCTATGTCGCCATCGGAGGGGACAGCTCACCGAGAGCAGCCGCAGCAAAGCTTCGAACGGAGCTTGCAGAGGAGAGGCGCAAGTCCACATTCGGTCGTCTAAGCACCTGACGCCCCAACATCAACAGGAGCGTTTAGGGTTTATGGCTCAGGGGTTAGGCAGTTCCGTAGGTGTTTGCTGAGCTCAGGAAACATAGCAAAAGAAGTGACAGAGATCAGGGACAGCTTCGTTTTTCGAACATAGCAGCCGGAATATTTACGAACAGTTTTCCCTTACAGTCCCTTGACAATTGTACTAAGACTATATAACATCACCTAGTATATCTATTCAGGCCCCTGGAGTATCTTGCTTGATGTTTTGCTGGGGCTTCAAGGCTTGCGGTCCTTTGCAGCTTTCCGTGGGCTTTAGGTGTTTAGGCCCTCTTAACCTTAGGGTTTAGGGCTTAAGGTTTAGGGTTTAGGGTTTCTTAGACTAAAGTATAATCCCTAAGCGCTCAAAGCTTCGAGGTTTTTGCTTAAGGTTTGAGATCCGAAATCCTTAGCCAAGATCCGCAAAGGAGCCGAGTCTGCAGATAATCTTAAACGATCTGAGGGTACGATAACTGCTTCACAACTCCAACAAGGTTCAGGACATGGAGTTCCTAACAAAAGACAGGGCATTAGGGCATTTCTACCAGCCTTGGAGACTTTGCAAGCAGCACCCGATCCGACCAAGTTGCCCGCACGCGATCCTGGTAGTTGCTGGTGATATCTTTACCTACCGAACTCATCATCACCGTAGGCCCGAAGCCTTACAGCCTTCCAAAATAAATTTCGAAAGTCCACAGTGAACAAAGCAGCCATTTCAATTCTGAAAACTCTAAGTTCAAGCTCTTCTAGCTCCCCCTTCTTCCGGCGTTGGAAGTTTGGGGGTTCGCGTCTTGCTTTTCCCCCACACCCTAAGCCTTAAACCCTAAACTAAGAACCCCACTCGCCTCACGAAGCCAAGGACTACATGTGCAGTACAAGCTGTGGCTCGCCACCCACCGTCGCCAAACCAGGGGAAGCTCGACTCGGTTTAGGGTTTAGGGTTGACTATGTTTATAGTGCTAGGGGGGATTAGGCTTCACCCTAAACCCTAAGCCCCAAATGAACCCTAAATGCTGTGTTTAGTCTGCAACTCTGAGGTACGAGAGCTTAGAGGCTTTGGGTGGCAAGGTTTCGCAGACGAGGCTTTGTTTCTTGGTGCTGGAGCGGGTTTATACAACGTGGGTTCCGTCTTGGGGTTACGGCCTGGGGTGAGGACATGGATGTAGGATTCGGGTTATGTTAAGCAACAACCCTAAAGCCCTAAACCCTAAACCCTAAACCCCTAAACCCTAAACCCTAAACCCTATCTAAACCCTAGACACGAGGTGCCTACCCATTTCACCGGACGTATGTCTTGGAATCTGTCCCAAGCTCTCAGGAATCTAACCCAAGACAGCACACCGTATCTGAACCTCTGGAAGTGTGGCGATTTCGATTGAACATCTGTTGATCCGTGATGAGACCAATCTCCAAGTTCAGCTGGCCCTCGTCCTGGCAGCATGCTACCAACAATTAATCACGCTTGCTTTTAGGTTCCTACTGTTGTTATTCTGAGCATTGTGTGATAGTGCTTTAGCACTCATGAACCGACACTAGCTAGGTGTTGAGGGTTCAAGCTTCTGAGCTCACCCCTCACAAAGCATGCGTGTGCACATGGCTAATCGTTTTTGCACCCGCGGGGTTGTGAATCACTTCGACAACCTCACAGCCACAGCTTCAGTTCTTGTAGGGGTTAGGTTGTAAGTGCAATCGGGATGTAGCTGAATGGTAAGCAGCATAGTGCGCCGCTGCTCTTGTTAACGCATGGGTGGCCAGGGCTCAGGCAAGCAGAACAGAATAATTACTCCAAGCCATCGCAAGACCCTCACGCGCGACATTTGAATTTGGACCTCGCTCTGTTTAGCTTTTGCTAGGACCCGGCATCTCAAACCGTCCCGGAACCCCAGCCGACCAGGACATCGTGGAGGAGTTCGGAAAGAAGCGACCGAACAGTTACCCGCAGAAACATGAGGGTTTCCAGAAGTGGGAAGGTTGTCGGGCTTGGAGGTTCCCCCCTGTAGTCTACATATGGTATATTTTGGTATACGGTATACTCTGGTCTACTACGGTAGAATCACCATTTGGTATAGTATGGCTTGTTCTGGCTTAGTGGCATATTGTCGTAGATTACGTTTTTCTGGTAGACCCAGGTTCTGGAGTTTCTTTGCGGGGGCGGAGGTTTCCATTGTTTTGAAGCCGAAACCCTACCCATAGGCCCCATAGTAGTTCCTTTTTGGGATTACCGAATAGGATCCTGAACATAAGCCACAAAAAGGAACTACTATGGGGCCTATGGGTAAACCCTAAACCCCAAACCGATGCAGGGCTTGTGGGTTGAGAGCTTGAAGTTTCTCGGAGTTCGGCGCCCCGACAGCGGTGTAGGGTTTGGGGGGGTTTGTAGGGTTTAGGGTTTAAGGTTTTTGGGGTTTTCGTCGAGTTTAGGTCCGTTTAGGGCTTAGGGCTTTGATGCTAGATCCAAACATAGCTTGCTAACTGCCCAGAGCTCCATTACCTGCAACCCCCGCCCTTTTTTAAGAGGAGCTCCTTTGGATAGGAAGCCGAAACAGGGAATAGTTTCAACGAAGGAGGGGGCTAAACTCTGCCTAAACTAGGCGAAAGAAAATAGTGGGCCGTCAGTACCGGAAACACTAAGTATACTTTAGATACCTCAGCACTCTGAGAACATCCTGACTACCCTGAACCTTACGTCGGTTTCTGAAACCCCTTACCCTAAACAAACACCTGCCCTTAAGCCCTGAACAAACTCCGAAACAAACTCTAAGCCTGAAATACCTTAGTCCTTACACAAACCTTCAAGCACACCAAGTTGACTCTCAGCATATCCTCACCGAAGGCTACAAAGGTCACCGTCATGGCGATGTTGCGACCTGGACGGCAGTCTTAGGATGTATTGGGTATGTGATTGGATTTAGGGTTGACGGGCATAAGGTTAGGGGATTTAGGGTTTGGCTTTCAGGGTTCAAGCGGTTGGCATCAGTGAAGGGATGAGTTCGTCAAAGGGCTTCAGGTGTAGCGGTTTTGTTTAAGGGACTGGGGTTTGGGACCCGATTTGCCTTTGCTTTGCTTTGGGCTCGGCAGTTGGAAGTTTGCATTCGTGGTCTTGCGCCGTTGCTTTGCTCATGGGGTGGGGCTTTAAGGTCTGGAGGCAAAGATCATGGGCTAAAGGTTTTAGGGTTATAGGGTTTAGGGTTAAAGGGTTCAGGGTTACAGGGTTTAGGGCTTAAGGGTTACCAGGGTTTAGGGGTTTAGGGTTTAGGGTTATCGGGCTTAGGGTTAAAGGGTTTAGCGTTATCGGGCTTAGGGTTAAAGGGTCTAGGGTTTAGGGTTAAAGGGGATGGCTTTGTTTCGGGCGGAGGTGACATGGCTTCGACTCTTATCCGCTGCTCTGGGACCTATAACTTTAAGTTGATGCGCTGCGAGCACTTTATAGGTGGCTCCGCGTTTCTACCAGCCCTAGAGCCCCAAACCCCAAAGCCTAAACCCTAAAGGGGTTTAGGGTTTAGGGTTGAGGCCTAAAGCCTAAAGCCCTAAACCCCAAACCCTAAAGCC